GTACGACAGTAGCATAGCATGGCACAACCATTTAAATTGACGAAGGTCTAACGCTCGAAACTTCGGCCTTAGAAACTCTTTACGCGTACGGCGGCCAATTTACCTTGTCAACTCATTTCATAATAACAAATTTTCCGTTTAATTCTACTTTAAATCGTTACATAAACTTAAAATCATTCGTAACCTGCTGTTTATTAGTTACAACTTTTTTTCCATTCCATTCGCTGTTTAAATTTCTCCATCGATCTAAAAATACAGGCTGGTCTAGCACGTAGGCGCACATTTAGGCTTGTCACCCACTCCTCCCCCACGATTGTTTGCGTGGGAGGAATGCTATATTTAGGCCGAAAGAAACACAACGTCATCAGGAAAAAGGAAAATATTACAGATTTCCTTGACCCCATTTTTCAGTCATTTACTATCAACTAACTCGGACCCCCGCTAATTCAATAGGGCTTTTGTTTCGCAATTTCTATCATTTGACTCAAGGTCGGGCACGGTCAGTAAATTGTGGGCGGTGACAATACCTGTGGGGAAATATGTTAAGTGTGAAGCAAGCTATCGCGAGGTACTTATAATCAGTGAATACAACTTAAATTTTATGAAAAAAAAGATACAATTCCATGTCAGGCCCCTGAGTTGTATCTATCTATTCAATTTCATGGTCTATGCTTTACAGCTGACAATAAGCTACAATGCTGATCAAAAGGCAACCTTCAGGTCATATATTGCGAAGTCATCGAGGATGAACATAAAAGCACATACAAATATCACGCCACTGCAAAAATCGTCCTACTGAAGATCCGCGATGGGAGAAGAGAGTTTAATGGTTTAAAGTCAGTAAGGGTTTCAAGAAAAATGCTAAAGAGACAGAAGTCCGTGCTTATAAATCACATTCATAGAAAATAGTTTGTTGTTACTTTGGAGAAGCGCCTCTATCTAAAACAGCGCCGTCTTGACCCCATCAGTCAAAGATAATTCCCATTGTTAGAATACACTAGTCCTTGAATCACTAGCTCTTTATCTCACATCAGTAAAATACTGAAAGGTATTTTTTAACTCGCAGACGTAAGCGTTCAGGCCAATTCCTCATGCCAACCGGATCAGATTACAATCAAAGATCCAAAAACTGGTTCAATTCAGTGTCAGGACTGTTTAAAATGTCCACCTGGCAAGGGTCTCTCAGTTAATTGCGGAGACGTAATAACCCCTTCAACACCTGTGCAGTGCAAGCCATGTGTGCTGGGAGAGACATATTCTGCTTCCTTCAAGGCCGGAGGTTGTGAGGACTGTGGAAATTGCGGTGAGTACCGCGAAACGACGAAAGCCTGTACGGTAACTTCCAAGGCCGTGTGTGGAAGGTGTAAGCCTGGCGCTTATGTAGAAGGCATGCTAGGACTGTGCAAGCCCTGCTCTCCGTGCTGTAATGATGGTAAAGATATCATTATACCTGAGTGTCAGGTTCCAGGTGTACCAAAAGGCATGCAGTGCAGCTACTTACGATCTAACAAGTGCAGCGCAGTCGTGACATCAAGTATTAGCGCGGCGCCGTCAACGCTTCAACTAGATCAGTCCACGACCCAATGGCGGCCATCCTCTTTCATAAGGAGGACCGAAGTAAATTCTCCTTTAAGTGAGCAAGCCGTCAACCTGACTAGAGAGGCTTCACCAAATGTGGGCATCATAGCTGGTTGTTTTGTGGGTGGCCTTCTCATCGCGATCATCGCCATCGCGTTCCGCATAGTTATGCCTAAACGCCGGAAGGCCTTATCGATGAGGATTGGTGTGGTTACAGTGGAAAACGGAGCTGGTCGGGCGCAAAATTGCGAACAACGAAATGATCAAGAAGACAATCGGGAACAAACAGAGGGAAGAGGTTTTCTGCCAAACGGAGATCTGTATGAAGAGAGCCCACTTCCACATCCCTTTCAAGAGGAAGCTGGTGATAAAAGTCAGGAGAAAATAGGAGTGCAGGAGACCACGTCTCCTCTATCAGGCCAGAGCAGTTTAGGTGAATATATGAATTGTTATAATGATATTTTTTGTTTGTTTCTCTTTCTAAGAACAAATCACAAATCACCCTTATGCCTTAAAACCAGTCATATACCTAATCTCTATACCTAATCACACAATTGTACGGATCGCCAGAAAGGAAAAATCCGGCAGAAGCTAGAGCCTTCCAACTTTTTCGAAAGTAAATAGAAATTTCGCTTAACTATAATTTCGTTGGGGAAATTTTAGTGAAAGGGAAAACCATGGAGTGTGAGGATTCCAACCGACAAACTTGTCTTACTGTTCCATCTTAAGTTTAAGTTGAAATCATTTCAAAAACATTTGAAACCTCAAATTTTTAGAACAATTTCAAACCGAGTTGTAAACTAATGCATCTTGTCATATTTTTTTTCTGTAGCTTTAGATTCTAAACTTGACGGGTTTGTGAGGAAGCAGTGTACTGAATCGTTTAAAGTGAGAGCACACAGTCCCCCCAATTTTGTAACCAGCAAGACCACTATTACGATGTACAAAGACACCTATGAGAAGGTCACCACGGTTTGACGACAGTCATCAGCTCCTTTAAATGCAATTTTCCGTTAGTTTCTGCTCAGTAGTTTGCTGAGTTAGTGAAAGAGAAATCGGGACATTTTAACAACTTTGGTTCCTTCTTATCGTTTTAAGACGTGTGCAAGCCCCGATTCACCAACGTCACAAGCTATTACATGTAAAAAGGTTTAGAAATTAGTCGTTTGAGGCGTAACTCCGGCTACACTTCACTCTGTTGAAAACGTGAAAAAGCTGTACCACGCTTCCTAATCAAGTTACGGTGTATTCAATTGATTTTATGGTTCTATTACAACGCTTCGGTTAACTCCCACTCACAGCTCTTAGCTTATTTGAAAAAGACATTAAAAACGTGTGGTAGTAAGCACGTGACACATACATGTTATGTAATAGACGAATGAAGTCACTCAAAATGTCAATCAAATTAAGACGAATTAACGTATCATACGTCAATCTCCAACTCTCATAATGATGACTATTTTACTAATACTGCGCTCGTGCTTCCTTGGGTCGTCAATCAACACGGACAGGGTTTAATTGGGTCCTCGACATTACGTAGAACAAAAATTACATATCAAAACAGAATCGCTGAGCATAATAGCTCTTTTTTTAAGTATTTGTTTTTCTACGTGTGTGGAAGATTCATTTGCATAATTAGGCTAGCTGAAATAAATCTTTGAGAATTAAAAAATTGTGAAGTAATTACGCCTTGAATGGAGAAGAAAAAACCAAGCCTGCGATCATTTTACAAGTTTGCTTTGCGTCTCGTATCAGACTCAAAAAATTAGTTCCATTTTTATATCTTCCGCTAACTTAGTTTTTTCTTATTAAATACACGGCCGGTAACCTTCAAGCCCGATGCTTTATAGGATTAGCGTATTTGATTAACGATTACGGTGTTTATGATGATCGATGATGATATTTGTTTAGGTCGAAATTCTTTCTTTACGTTCATAAGCGGAACAAAAGAAGCGAGCCGGCAAGGGCGAAATTGAGTCATACATGTTTTTGTGTTATACATATGCTGTACCTTTTAATGGCTTAGCTCTCCTCCGGGTTCTTGGTAGATCAGTGGTTGAGCATCCAAGCGGGAAATCGGAAGGTTGAATGATCGATTCTCTAAATTAGAAATTCAGTCTCGCGCTTGGATAACATCTTTTTCCAAGACTTGCTTCTTGAGGTGCAGGTGCAAGGCCACAGTATGATCATGCATGGACTATAGGAGAACAGAATCAGCTCAAAAGAGCTACAACTGCTGAAAAATATATAAAGTCTGGCACTGCTGTTTAAATAATTTCTATCGATGAATAGCATGATGGATATTACACACACATCAATATGTCTTCGTTTGAGAAGGTAGGATGTCTTCGGACAGAACTAAGGAAAGCGCTAAAGTGGAAAGAGATAACGTTTCCATAGTTATTTTCATCAACAGATCTAGGAATTGTCATATGCTGGTCAGCGGTGAAGCGCATTACATTGACCTCTTACCCAGACCGTCGCCGTTCATGTAAGCACGGGCTCAAACTTTGGATCCATGGTGTTCAATAGAGTTGATGCACTATATGTGTGTCTGGCTAAAACATAAGTTGTTGAATGTACAGCCGAGTATAAGGCAAAAATGCAACTCTCGTCATAGAAAACTTGCATACGATTAAATTACCAAGGGCTTTTTCAGCTCGGTGATTCTTGCTCTTTTGGTGTGGCAAAATATTATAGGTAATTTTTAGAAGTTCCCGCACTACGTGTCGAGACAGTAGTTGTAGTTGTAGCCGTAGTTGTAAGGCCACGAACGGGTGCTTTTCTTGTCCTAAGATACGATCATTATGTTGTCAATACCTTTCAATAGGAATAAGCTATAAATGACACAGCTACGGATAAGTATATTTTCTTTTATTTTGAGGCGGTGCTTTGTAATTATTTGCAAGTTTAGAGCTTGCTTACCATTCTTATGGAACTGTATTTGCATTTTCCGGTTTTACTAGTAAGCCATTGTAATATTTGACCCGTGAGAGTCTGGCGCGCGTAACAGAGTGAGTTAATGTCTGGTTTTGCCTGTCCTGAAGAGAGGCTCGTCACGTTTTTGTATACATGAAACGCAAAAAGACGAGGTCGTTGGTTCCTCTAAAAGTTCTATCGCATTCTTAACGTCTCCTCTAAGACTATGAGTCTCTCTGCCAGCTATTTTTTTTAATCTCACCTTAAGAGACAACACTGAAAAAATAGTTTATAAACAAAGTGATGGAACGTGATGGAACGCCGAAGGAAATAATTCTTGCATATTGCGTAGTAACATATACCAGCCAGGAGGGCTCCGGCACTCTGATGTATGCAATGCTGTAAATGAAATCGTTAGCTACAGATTCCAGTTCTCTCACTGTATTTGTATCATATATTTCTTCACTCTATTTCCTTTTAAGCACTTTTATCCCTCATTTGTTGAGATTTTTTATTGAAACTCTCGTCACGATATTTCGAGGTTAATTTTGGCTGTCGCTGCTCATGTAAGCCGGAAACATGTACGTGCTAAAATGATGTGTTGGCGTCAGCATAAAATATTTGGTTAGTACCAAGATTATGTAACAAGGAAGCAAATAGGTGCACGAAAAGCGGGTGGACCGTGAAGAAGACCTAACTATAGAAAGAGCACTTTTGAAAAGTTACAGTGGTCTTGACTTGGTTGGGTTCTCGCGCAACTTTCTACATCCGTTAGCTAAAAAAGTAAGCTTTTTCTATTAGTTAGCATCCACCTTTACAAAGGCTGTTCGTGACTTATACCGTTCGTGACTTATGTCGTTCGCGACTTATGCTGTTCGTGGCTTATACGTAAGTCATTGAACATACACAACATTGTTCATTGTTGATCACGTACAAATCAGTTCAATAGGGGAGACCCCCCTCCAGAATAATACATAACATAAATATGCATGAAGAAAGGAGCTGCATATATGGTAAACTGATTTACTGTATAAATCACCTGATAATTTTCCTGTCGCAGAATTTGAGCGAGGCTGTAAACGTAGCCCTGGCAATTCAAGACTCTGCAAAGAAAGACAGAAAGGTAAGATAATACGATAAGATAAAGCGACATTAGAATGATGATTGGAATCTCGTAAAGCTTTTGTTAAGTTTTTTGTGACGCTTTTGTGACGTTTTCAGACTTTAAATACAAGTGATGAATAAGCAAATACCTATCTAACCCGCAAACGCATTTTTCCAAAAGGGTTTTAACTGGCTCTGTGAGTATATAACTACGTATAACCAAAGCGGTTTGTATTCCCAATGCAAGCAGACGGCCGGGGGAGATGAAATTCTACGAGTAAACACTGAAGTTATAGGTAATATTTTCAAGATCTATGACTTTTTCGGCTCATTGTTTTTATATCCATAGTGCAACACTAACAAGGGATTAGATTAGATCCTTTGCTATAGGATTTGGCTATATGTCTGACAACGAAGAATGTAGTATCATTTACTAATCCAGAAGAACCTTTTCAGACGGAACAAATCAAGTTTATGTAGACTACAGCATTTTCTTCGAGTTCTGAATTCATGCAACACTAAAGATTTCATAACAGCAGCCGCTTCATGTCTCAGCTATGAATTTGTCACAGAAGCGTAGGAAGGGCAGTAGCAATGTTTATCGCGTGCAAAATTGCACGATATTTGAGATTCACGTCAATGAATAATCTTATTGGTGATCGTATCCCAACTACTACTTAATCGGTTCTCATCTCAGAATAATTTTATTTTTTCTCTTGCAGTCTTTGTGAAAAACTCTGCATACAACAAACGAAAGATTACAATGAGGGGCAATCGACAAGGAATAGGTGAGGGACATCTGCCTGTTTGCCACAATTTTCAGAACACATATAGAAACTTACGTAAATACAACGCTAAAGCTTTTCAATTTGAAGTGGGCGAGAGTCGAACCAACTATTAGCTCATGCATGGGATTGGTATGTGAATTCTTGGGCTTTTTTAAAAACAGCACAAAATTTTTAATTTTATCAATCACAAGGAACAACAGCCGAACTTCAAACGTTTCGGAATGTCTTTCGATGTTGAATTGGGACAGAGAACAGCAAGATTGTCTGAAACAGTTCACCTTTCACTAGACAGCCTATGATTTTCTTCAAGTTTACTGAGTTCTGTCCAATTCCATTTCCAAACTTGAAAGGCTTGTTCAATCATTCAAGATTGAAAAAATTGTCTTGGAATGAGCAGATTTAGTTGTTATAATTCGCTTCTGCTTTGGGAATGGCAGGTTCGAATATCATATCAGAGTATTTGACTCATTTATAGTCCTTTGTACAGAAATTATTCATCGTCATCGATGGCGTAGATCAGCGAAAGCCTAGAACAAAGAAGAATTGCAGTAGCTCAGGGCCTCAATCGACTCGTCCATTTAATCGGCATGCTACTGAAGGAGAACTTCAAACGTTTACTACTTTGTTTGCCAGAAAATCGATTTATTTTTTATGCTACTGAAGGAGAACTTCAGACGTTATTTTTAGAAAATCGATAAACCCAGAATCTAGCAAAATTTAGGGCAAAGCATAAAGGACGACATAAAAGCAGTGTTTTAAGCTGCTTGAACAGCTTTCGTGCGTTCGTTTAGTGGGTACTAAAGCATAAAATCCGCTAATAATAAAACAATTACGATGCCGACAAATAATTCTTTTAAACTGAAAATATGTCTTTTCTACGAAGATATTATGTGCGCGATCGTCAATTATGGATTTTATCTGGGAAAAAAGATTCCCTTACTGAAATCGAAAATGATATTTTGGCGTCTGACCAGTAACAAATCAATTTAATCGTGATTGGCTGATTAAGTTTTAAGACTCCCTCGGGATCTCGGAATAGACTTCCCTTAGGAACTGGTCCTTACTTTTCGCCAAGAGGAGGGAGGGGGGCGCGTTGTGGAAGCGGAGTTTTCATTTTTGTCGCAATCAAACTCACCTGATCCCCCCATAAGGCTCTTAAGTATACTAACGATCGCCCTTATTGGCAGTCAATTTTCCATAGTCCACTTTTGACTCTATCACAGAAGACTGATTCCCCCCTCAGCTCTCCTGAGAACCATGCGAAATCCTCCAAAACCCCCAGTCGATAAAAAGACTGGTCCCTTAGCAAAAGTAACCCTACGAAGTTGTTATAATTATTTTAAATTTTATTGTTCTTGATCTTTTATTTTCAGGCGCTCGTTTATTTCATTCTGTATAATAACTTCTTTCCTTCAGGTTCTGTTATGTTATTTCTGGCACTTTCCATTCAAATTATACTATTAACGCACGCAGCCCCAATGGATTGCCAAAAGAACACTGCTGTCTGCTTGGAAGAAATAATGAAGGAAATGACCCAAGTTCGATTTGAGTTAAACATTCTCACTGAGAACAGAACATTAATAAGACGTAAGTAAGATTGTCTTCGCTTTACCTGTATAGATCATTTCCATCTTCCTTTTCTCTTTATTAAATTAATCATTGCTTGGTGCAGAGTGAAAAACCTCTGAAGTCCTATAACGGCGGAATGGCGATTTCAATTTTTTTTACGTAATCAATTTGCGGTTCTAGAGGGCAAAATTTTCTACTCGGAGTTCCATGTTTCAGTTTAGTGGCGATTCTTTACTCACGCGGCGATGTAGTGAAACATTTGCAAGGAAATGTTTTTCGGCGTATTGTCATCATCGTCTTTAACGTTATCATAATTTTAAAACATTCATTAAAAAAATCGATATAGAAGAGAGTTGGAGACGAGAGTTAAGTATGCAGGTATCCTTGAGCCAGTCAAATCGGACTACTAAGAAAGAATTTAGCCCTTTATGGTAATAACAAGTTATCCCATGTTCCATTACAAAATTAAGAATTAAATATCACCTATGTTTTCTAAGTTTCAAAAATTGCCCGAGTCGCGCAATTGATTCTTGAAAACGTATGTGAGTATTATAAACCCTTAAATTTTATTGGCTCCCTGCGATTACCGAAACAAATTTTGACATAGCAAACTGTTTCAATTGTTGTAGTCCCAGGAGAGACAAACTCACGAAAGCGTTATCTTAAGATCCGAATCCGGAAAGCGCAAGGGACCAATCTGTTGAGGACATTAGCCTATTTAATTGATTATTGATTAGTTTAATTATTTCCATTATCCTAGGTACGAACATGGTTACAATGTTCATCTGTTTGTCTATATTTTTATTGGTTTTGTAATCGGACCTTTCAGCGTGACCACGCGCATATAAAAGCGAGTTTAGCGTCCCTGTGACCAGTTCTTCGCAAGTTTTTGATTAGTCTCAGTGAACTTTCGTATTTTCGTTTTAAACCTTTGGCACAAGCGAGACCGATATGTAAGTACCTTTGTAACTTTGTTTTTCTAAATTTAGTTTTCCAGCATTGGGCTCAAGTATATAATCAAATATTTCGTTGTATTGCAGTATATTTCAATTGAATCGAGATTTAAAGGCCAAATTTTTTCAAATGCAAGTGAACGAAAGAACGATAGGCTGTTAACCAGCCACCAAATTCTTGTAATTTTGTACTTTAACGTAGTTTGTATTGTTTATTTGTATTGTTTAATATCATTTTAATCTCGTTATCGGCGTTAAGGTCCAGCTTTTTACACGCGATTTTTGATTATGTATTTCGCAACATTTCATCAGACTGATAGAACTTCGTCGCATTAATGTTTCAGTTTACGGTCGATTGCTTGATTGAGAGATTGATCGTTGATTGTGGTTCGTGGATTGCTTGCAAGATTAAAGATTCGTGTAAACGGTCAACTTTGGTCTGTTACATTTCATACATTTCAGTCTCGATCAGTAAAATAGCCCCCAAACACTGCGTTAACCGCGTCTTGGAGCGACACTTCTTGGAATCTTATGAATTAGATTTTTGGTCGCCGCAAGTGCCAGACAATCAGATTACAGGATTCGGCTAAAAAATATTGTATTTATGTGTTATGAAGAATACAAGGTTTGCCTTCTTCTTGTTATGAAATGTTTACAGATTCCTCATCAGGTGGTATAGGCAAATCTATATACCTACCCCTTTTTTTAGAGTATGCCTATGACATTGAATACCTTTATTTTATATCTAAAAGCCACGGACTGTGCTGAGCTCTACAAATCCGGTAGAACGGTTAGCGGAGTTTATACAGTTGATCCTGATGGTTCAGGTGCCTTTAATGTATATTGTGACCAGACCACAGCCGGTGGAGGCTGGACAGTCTTCCAGAAGAGAATTGATGGTTCCGTTGATTTTAGCCGAACCTGGGATGACTACAAACATGGCTTTGGCAACTTGGTTGGTGAATTTTGGCTCGGATTAGATAAGATAAACCGCCTGACGCAAAACAAGACAAAGAACAAGCTTCGAGTTGATCTGAGAGCAATTACCAACAAAATTGTTCACCCTGAGTATGATTGGTTTGGAATTGCGACCGAGACGAACAAATATCGGCTGTACATTGGCAAAATGACGACAAGTAAGTCATCGATCAACCAGTTTTTTAGCCATATTGTTCGAATTATATCTTTGCTACCCCTTCATCGGCAAAGGGTCCTCCTCGCCCCCTTCCCCCTCATCCTTCTCCTCGCAACCAACAAAGAGTGTTTTTTCCCTGCTCTTTACCGTTTGGCTATGTTTAGCAGTGAATCACTTTCTGCTCATGCGCAGTTGAGTCCACACCCCTCCGTAGAAAATGGCAATTTGCTTTCGAGGTTGTTGGAGAGTGATTCCTTAGATATATTACGAAAAAGCAAACTCTGAAATTGAATTTAAAAAAAAGTTACTAAAATCGTTTCTACCAAAATATTGTAGTTGTTGGATTATCTGACTTGCGCGCTCTTAACAAAATCACGATGTTTTGCTCCACCTCGACGCATGAAAGTCAATCAGTCATCATCATCATCGACGATTGAAAATAAAATTCATTCTTTCCATGTTAAGAAAAATCTGTTTCATCGAAGTAGTATGTCACTACTGCTGTCGAATTTTTTTGTTTTCTTGTCGGTCAAACATCATCCTTGAGGCTCCAAAAGGCATTAATCCAAGAGATTACACACTCTTGCGTAATGCTAAAATTATGCTACTATTTTTTTTTTCGTTTGGTACAGATGCAACTGTTTGCCCTGATTCCCTCAGCCAACACAATAATTTCGATTTTGGTATCTGGGAAAGAGGTCCTGCAGATCGCGTTCAAAAAAGAGGCGTAGGCTGGTGGTATGATGAAGATAGAGAAAATGCTGTTCACTCAAATCTTAACGGTATCTATCCGCTTTGTGGAAGTGAAACCGCGGCTGATATCCACTGGGGCCATTTAGCTCCAAAGAGGGGTGCCGTGGGCAGCGCTCCTAAGTCATCTGAAATGAAAATTAGGCCAGTGGATTTCTTTTAGAGTTAACCATACACCCCATAAGTGAGCTGTGATTTTTGCTCTGACCTGTTACATCCTAGGTGTTAAGTGTGTAAGATTTCTCTTTTACTAATTTTTGATTGTAGAAGTATTAAAAAAAAAAACTTCATACCGATCAACATATTCTTAAGGGTTCATTTAGAGTTATTCATCATGTACTTTAGGGGTTTTAGGGTGTTGGGTATGCATTAGATATCTT